AAGACACAAATGGTGTGACTCTAGACATGAAAAATTGTGCTCTATATGTGTACTATGAACTGAGCTGCATTCTGCTGTCATGGATAACAAATTAGAATAAATAAATTTAAAAAAAAGAATGTAGGAGCAGCTGCAAAACTGGCTCAGGATGGACCTAGCCAAGGTGCAGACCTTGGCTTCCAAGATAGTCCATGGCTGATGGCAGAAAACATTGGTTCCTCCCAGGCTATTGGCAGTGGCCCTTATTTACCATCACATGGGTCATTCTATAGGGTTTCTAAAGTATCCTTGCTATACTTCTAAATGTTAATTTCTCCCAGAAAAAAATGATCTGGCATGTGGAGGGGGTGGGGGGAGATGAGCAAGACTGATGCCACAAAGTTTTTTATAACTATCCAATAGTATTTATGCTATTGGTCACACAGATCAACCCTGATACACTGGAGGAGATTATATAAGAATGAGTACACCACCCAGCTATCCCTCTCCTGGTCTATACTCAAAGGACTTAAAAACAGCATACTACAGGGACACAGCCACATCAATGTTTATAGCAGCACAATTCACAATAGCTAAACTGTGGAGCCAACCTAGATACCCTTCAGTAGATGAATGGATTAAAAAATGTGATATATATATATACACAATAGAATATTACTCAGCAATAAAAGAGAATAAAATCATGGCATTTGCAGGTAAATGGATAGAGTTAGAGAAGATGATGTTAAGTGAAGTTAGCTAATCCTAAAAAAACAAATGCTGAATGTCTTCTTTGATATAAGGAGGCTGATTCATAGTGGGATAGGGAGCAGGAGCACGGGAGGAATAGAGGAACTCTCATTAGGGCAGAGGGGGTAGGAGGGGAAGGGAAGGGGCATGGAATAATTAATGATGGTGGAATGTGATGACCATTATTATCCAAAGTACACATATGAAGACACAATTGATGTGAATATACTATGTATACAACCAGAGATATGAAAAATTGTGCTCTATATATGTAAAAAGAATTGTAATGCATTCCTCTGTCTCATATAAATTTAAAAAAATAAAGAACGAGTTCACCAGAGAGTGGAGACAATTGGGGCCAACTGGGGCCATCCTGTAGACTGGCTACCATATGTGAATATGTGCTTAGGGGGTACTGTCAGCACAGAATGTACCAGAACCCACACAGAACTGAAATCAGACATGAGGACATGGGGAGGTAAGCCGCGGTGTTCCCAAGGCTTGTTCCTGCTGTGCTTCCTTAATGCCTCCCACCACTCATACCCAATCATTTCCTTGGTTCTTTGAGTTGAATCTGGGAGGATGTTCAAAGGTTTCAGAAAATACTACAAGCAAAGCTGATCTAGAATTTTACAAGTACAGTAGATGATCTGAAAATGGCCTGCGTCTTGGATTGATTAAATCGTTTAGACAGTTTACTTCTTGGTTTTCTTTCACCCCCGAGCTACAGCGCACAGACTACAGAAGCCAACACATGACTGTGTGCCTTTTAACAGGAGAATGTAACAGAGCAGATGCTCCAATTTTATGGAACAGGACAAGACACAATCTGAAAGGAAACAAATCTGTGTTATCATAAGGACAAGATTCATTTTGGTTTAAGTCTGTTTAACATTGCAACAGACTGTGAGGGTCACAGAGGTCGATAAACACATGCCCCAAAGTCATGATTCTTTGAAATACAAAAAACTAAGTCCTTTGGGTAGGTAGAAAAAAAAGTATTTCCACTCACAAAGTAGGCTAAATAATCTTTGGTCTTAACAACAATTAATTACCTATCCATAATCCATGCTCCTCCATTTCCTTATTAACAGACTCCCCTTCCCCATCTTCTCTGGCAACTTGGAGTGGCCATGTGACACTGTTCTGACCGATAGTTCACAGGACGTCTGCAGGTGAGTTCTAGGTTCTGCATTCCGGATACACATATGGCTCTTACTGTCCCTGTTTGGAAAGACAAGAGGCGACTAGCACTAGAGTCATCAAAGCCACCTTGCAGCCACGAGAAAACAGCTGAGAGAGCTACCTACCACACAACCAGCCATTGGTTGGTTCTAAACTTGTGCAAAAAAGAAACCCCCCAGTGTAGGCTCTTACTGCTGTTGGGTTTTCTGTGATGAGCAGTTGGATTGAATGACTAATGGACACAGCTCTCTAGGATATTTTTAGATCAACCCTAATGAAGTGAAAATTTTGTTGCATTGATTGTTAAATGTAATTTTTAAAAAATTATCTTAAAAGACGTGGTTTTAAAGTTTTAAATTTATAAAAACCATCATTATTGATCTTCTGAAAAAATTGTGATGATCCTGGAGTGAAGACTATGAACAGATTAATGCCCTCTCAGGAATCAGCAAGGTCTTGCTCTCACGGGACTGAACTGTTTGCTACCAGAGTGGGTTATTATAGAGCAGTATTACCCCTGTATTGTCCCTTCCACTTGTGTTCACTTGTCACTTTTAAACACTGTCCTGGTGTGTGATACCATCTGACATTCAAAATGCAACACCAGGCCCTTGCTAGATGTGGACTCCCAAATTTTGAAGTTTCCTGATTCCAGAACCATGAGCTGTATAAACCTCTTTTCTTTAAGAATTACCCAGTCTTAAATATTCTGTTATAGCCACAGAAAATTGACTAAGATGCCCATTTATACTCTCATGAAAACAGAATCTTTTTTCAGGAACTTAACAAATTGACACTTATGTATTTCCTGAGAATTGGTGCATAATATTTTCTTTTCCCTCTGAATTCTAAGCTCCACAAGATCAGGAAATGTGCTTGTGCCTGTGTCCTAGTCCCTGAAGAGAAGAATAGAAAGCAGAATGTTTTAGACATACTGTCTCTCAAGGAACCACTGGCAAAGTCCAAGTGGCCTTGGTCCAAGGATTTATAGAATTTAGGGATTGTCAAAGATGACGTCCATGCTAAATTCTACTAACTGAAATGTTCAAGCTTTTCTATTTGCCACTTCCCAGGCCCCCTCACTATAAACCCCTGGGGGGCAGAAATATGACCCAGGATGACAATTTCCACAGAGTGGTCTGGGCCAAACTTCCAACCTTCCAGCCAACCAATAGTGTTTAGGAGAGGGAGGCCAGTTTCTAATCCCTCTTAGTTACCTTAAATAGGAAAAAATATTGATCATCCATAGATAAAGTGAGAACCTCTGAATGCTTTTATATATATTTAGGCCTACATTTTGACAAGATAAGAATCTCTATTTACACTGGTGACAAGCAGGCATCTGGAGAGCATTGAACTGTAGTGATACTTTGCTCCCATGTGAGGTTGGTTTTTGGAGTATAACATGAAGTTATTTGGCTTTTGAAAGGTGCCATTCCTTTTCTGGGAAAAGGAATGAATTCAAAGGAAAGAATTCAAAATAAGCATTTGTAATATTAAAACATACCCAAGGGGCCGGGGATGTGGCTCAAGCGGTAGCGCGCTCGCCTAGCATGCGTGCGGCCTGGGTTCGATCCTCAGCAGCACCACGTACCAACAAAGATGTTGTGTCCGCCGAGAACTAAGAAAAAATAAATAAATGTTAAAATTCTCTCTCTCTCCCTCTGTCCCCCTCCCCCCTCTCTCTCACTCTCTCTTAAAAAAAAAAAAAAAAAAGATGTTGTGTCTGCCGAAAACTAACTAAATAAATAAATAAAAATTAAAAAAAAAAAAACATACCCAAACCCAAATGAAAAGACAATGAAAAACTAGAAAGAAATCTCACAATTCATAAAAACAAAACAAAACAAAAACTTGAAAATATAATGCTTGTTGAGAAATATTTTACTGTTTGCTGCTTATTGTACTTCTTTGCTCTAAGCACCTACTACAATGGAAAAGCCCCCAAATGATTCCTGTTTATCTTGAAGTCTCCTCAATCCACACTGTCTGGGTCTCAAAAGACATAAAGGCAGGAAGTGGGACAAGAGAGGAGGGGAGGGAAGGTCTGCTGGAAGTCGCATTTCCGGGCACCAGCTGCACACTGTGGACTGTGGAGCTGAGCAGTCTTAGTGACAGTAGGTGGCCTGAAGGCCAGGGTCCAGATCACTTGAGTGCTTATCTATCCAGATGACTTAAATAGGAAAAAAAAAATAATAAAGCAGACAAGTAGAAGGATTTCTAGAGAATAAATGAATCTCTGATTCAGCAGTGATTTAATTCTAGGTAGTAATTTTATAAGCTGCTTTTTTTTCTACTGAAATAGAATATCCCAGTAGAATATCATTATATTTAGGATATAAATCCTAAATCATGTTATAAATTATCAAGTAAAAAATAATTTAAAGGTATACTATATGAGGATAAATGTCATCTTATCAGTCCTTTACTTATTTGATAGATATCTGCTTTAACAGGGGAATTTTTTTTTCCCCTGGATTTTAATGTAACCTTAAATACTCTAAAATAATTGTGAGAAAAATAACATTTAAAAAAAACCTTGATAATTCTTCTCAGTGCCTCTTAGCCAAGAATTTTTAAAAGATTATCAATAAGTTATTTATCACACAGGTAATCCATAATGAAGAACTGATCAGAAAATATCAGAAACATAGAATTAGTAAACCTATGGTAGAAAATTACATACTTTTATACTTCATCACTATAATGAAAGTAGTAGGATTACATGCAGAGGGGAGATACTGCCTCCACCAGGGACAAAAATATTTTGGAATACTATTGCACTGACATATTTTTTAAATATTAATAACTTCTTATTAAGAAGTTGTGACCTTTTAGTTAAAGTCACTTTCAAATCCAAAACACAGGATGTTCTGTGACCTTCTCTATCTACTTTCTGGGAAGTCAGATTCAAATGCTGAACTTGAGGTCAGAAAAATGATAGAATCCTACATATAGTTAACATCAATGCTAATGAAGTTGCATGATTATTTTTAAATGTTGCTTAGTATGATGACTTCCCTTTTTTTGGATAACTACCAAGAAGGGGAACAGCTGGGTTAAATGGTAGTTCTGTTCCTCTCTTTTGAGTAATCTCCATACTGATTTCTATCCTTGTTGTATTAATTTGCATACTATAGCAATACCTACATTCCAATGTTTATAGCATCCAATATTTATTCACAAGAACCAAGTTATATGGAGCCAGCCTCAGTGCCCTTCAACAAAGGAATGGATAAAGAAAACACACACACACACACACACACACACACACACACACAAAATAGGGTTTTAGTCAGTCATAAAGAAGACTGAAATAATATCATTGGCTGGTAAACGGATGGAACTGGAGAACAAGATGCTAAGTGAACCAAACCAGACTCAGAAAGTCAAGAGTCCAATATTTTTCTCTCATATGTGAAAGCTAGAGAGAAAGGGGGAAAAATGAATTTTAAAAAGTAGGGGAATTCTCATGAAAATAGAAGGAAGAACAGTAGAGGACGGTGATTGAGGTGGAGGGAAGAGAAGAAAAGGTGAGGAACTATGTGCATGTATGGATGTATCACAATGAATCCCACTTTCATGTATAATTACAATGTACCAACCATAAATAAATAAATAAATAAATAGAAGGAAGACCAGTAGAGTAGAGGAAAGGGGTCAGGGGGTCAGGGGAGGGAAGAGGGGAAAGCAAGGGCAAATACTGGGAAATGAAATACAGCAAATTATGTTTCATGCATATATGTCACAAAGAGCTCCACTAATATGTAGAATTATAATGCAATAATAAAAACAATAAATAGACAAAGAATAAAATTGTTTTTTGTTTGTTTTTTACTGGTGTTTTCACAACTTGGATTGGACACAGCACAGAGCCATTCTTCATGTCTGTTCTGAAGTGCTAACAGGCAAATAAAGAATACAACCCTGGACTTTTCCCATGAAAGGATCCATAAGAAGGCCACTCTATGTCGGAAGCTGAGTCTGGCTGGACTTCTTTCCTGCCTTCAGGCCTGCCTTTTCATTCTGAAGTAAAAAGTAGAACTATTTTACCTGCATGTCCCAGTTTTATCTGTGAGGTTGGGGGTGGACGAAACACAGATGGAACCAATAAGTTTTATTGTGCAGACAGTGTGGTATTCACTCTCCAGTGACCTTGTTTTGTGTGTATACATAGGGAAAAGTTTAACAAGCCATCATTGACTCTGACAATGGGGGCATAGGAGTGGCTCTCAAACCAAGGAGCAGAGATTATCGCTTTGTGAGGGCAAATTTGATTAAGAGGCAACCCTTGTGCACTTTTTGTGGGATTAAATAGGGAGCCAAATGCTTAGTTTCAATATAACCATCTTTCCAGCAGCCTTAAGGAAAAAGCTGCCTGTCAACACTTGGGTAAACAATATGAATGATGGAAGGAAAAGTGCTCAGAGGCAGGAAAGAGACGGGCATTGAAAGTTTATAAGACCTGCATGCAATTCATGAAAAGACCAGAATGCTCATAAAGAGAATGGATTCTGTGCCCTCCCCTCTGCAGCCTCCATACACTCCCCACATTCCCTAGACTCCAGGAATTCCCCTCTGGTTGCAATGAATACAGTGAGCACTCTAGCATTTGTGCCAACAAAGTAAGAGAGCACAGTTAACATAAAATCATGAGGCATCTTTTATAGTCACACACATGATCACTTCCTCTGTTTCTGCCCTGCAGGCGAGCAAAATGCTAGACATGGAGACACAAGCCCAGCAAACAGCTTTTTGCTAAAACATTACAAGGAGCTATGAGCCACACTCAAATGAACACTCTAACACACAAAATGTGTTCACGCAGCCTAATGTTTAATTTCTGTTCAAAGCCTCTAAAACAAAATGTAGTGAATCATCATTTGCTCAGAAAGCATAGGGTGGTGGCAGAGACAAGGGATCTGAGGTGGAGGGGACTGTGTAAGAGAGGAGTGCAATGAAGGTCATTAGGAGATTATCTGCACCAATCTCATTGCTAAAAATGTCCACTTCTTACCTTGAGGATCAGAGTTTGTAGACCATTTTATCTTTCTCTGTCAACAGAGAATCTTGTAGAATAATAGCCACTAAATCAACTAAATTACACTCAACAAATACTGATGAGCATTCTTTATGTTTTTCACCTCATTCTTGCACAAAAGAAGACAAGAAAATGACTAAATCCAGACCCCATCTTTGAGATGCCTATAGTTTATTAAGGGAGTTTATAGTAACTCCCTAGGAGATGGTCTACAAAGCACTAATTAGCTTGAGAAGTAATCTATAAATTCAATTATCCATTCATTTATTTCATTTTTTTCATACTTAAGATACTCAAGGTCTAGGAGATTGTATCAGGACACTCTTAAAGCTGATTTTGAAAATATTCAAGTTATTTTCTTGTTAGTTTTATCTCCTTTTCTAAAACCCTTCTATCACAAGGTTTTCTAAAAGCAGTCTAAAAGTAAACTGAAATTAAATTAACAACTTATAACATTTAAAAAACAAAGTATACTTCTGGGGAAGTATAAGAATAAAAAATAAAAGACTCAAAGGCTTTGAAACTGAAAATAAATATTCTAAAATTCAAATTCATGCATAGCTCTATAATTCTACAAAATCACCCTTGGTCCCTCTTCCAGACTACTATAAAACATGCTTATAAATCAGAAACAGAAAAGCACGATGATACCAATAAAAGTGATGGCTGACGGCAGAGACAAGAGATTTAAAAAAATGTTTAAAGCAAATGGAAGAACTGAAGGGTAGTTATTGAAAACCCTAGTACACAGGCAAAAAAGTTCCCTCTGTTAGATTGAGCAACATGCTTGGAGATGACTAGAAGATACAGCTATATGACATAATCATAAAGGATCAGCTGATAACATGGGAGAGTGGAGGTAACAAGTGAAAAACTTCAAAGGCCACAATGTTCTGGACCATTCGCTAGGAGCTAGGAGCTCTACCCACCTTAATAATCCCTGGGAAATCACATCATTATGTCATTGTTTTCCATAATGGTGGCCCTGAGTCATCAAGGAAAACCTTAAATCCTGTTTAGTATTCTCTGTTTTAAAAAGCAGGAAATGTTTGGGGGCCAGGAGTCTGAATAATGCATTTTAGAGTTCTATAGGCCAGATTTGGTTGGGTACACATTTTACATATTCCCTAGACACTGTATTCTCTAATTAATCAGGGGCTTGATCAATCAAACGTTCTTCTAAAAGTTTCCTCTAATAACTACCAACTATGATAACATGCCACTAGAAATGGCTAGTCAAAAAAAAAAAAGTAATTAAATTTTCAGATATCCCCACAATTATTTTAAAACACTAAAATCTAACCTCTACGTGGGAGAGAATTTTGTGTAACTTTTGTATAGATGGAGAAAGGATGACAGGAAGAAAGCCGACAATGGTAGAAATAGCATGAAGAATATGTGTTAACTTGGCTGCACAGAGATGTTGCAGTGGAAGGTTGACAGAGGCAGGACCCTGTAGATGAGGCATGGGGTGGAGAGAATAGGGGAAAATGACCCCATGATTCTACCTGCCTTTTTTTTCAATAGATGAGAACATTACAACAGGCATGTAATATTCTGGCCCTAGGGAAAGGCACACTTTGGTGGGTCCCTACATCTTTCAAATGAAAGAAGATGGCCCTGGAATAGGAAATGCATTTGAGAGACAAGCCCTTCCTTAAATGAGAGAGAGAACACCTTTCTCTGGGCCTCACTTTCCTGGGCCTTGACTTGGAGGTATCTGGATATGATGATGGTGTTGTCTGAGGGTGCACCCTGGTGAGAATGGAAACTGGTCTGTCCTTATTGGAGTAGGAGAGAAGAAAGTCAAAACACAACCGAGAATTCTGTATGGATGAGCAAGCCTTATCTAATCAGTTCTTGGTTGCAGACGAGCTGTTTCTTTCTCTTTAATAACCATGGAACTTTATAATCTTCTTGCACACTACATACACTTCTCAAATGGCCATCCAGCTCACATTGTTTGTATCCTTGACCAGTAACTTCCTAACTTCCCCAGGCAGTCATAGAGAATTACCTAGAAGATAACCATGGTGAAGTTAATTCATCTCACACGAGTTAAGACTTTACTTTCTGGTTTATCAGAGGATAAACTTTGTAGTCACTTTCCCTTTAGCTTCTTGTGAAATAATATCTTTTCTGGGTTTTCTAGTTCTAGATCCATACCTATAAGGTAATGTTTAAGTTAGATCACGTGGAGGCCAATGATTGTATCCACTTGCTAGATGTTCCAGGACATTTTTCTGGTCCATTAAGTCATTTCAAATTTTGGTAACATTTTCACCAGAGGGTGAGTGGGAAAAGAGGTGTTAACAAAGATGGAAATGACTAACTCAGCAGACATTTTTTAAACAAAATTATAGGCATGGGACTGCCTTAAATTGCCATCCATTTTTGTGGTTCTGTTTTGGAAATTTACTAGAATAATGGGCATCGCTAAATATATTTAAAAGACAGTCATGCAGCAACGTAACTCTGCCGTACCATTATTTCCAACCAATAGAGCTCACCCATTTTCCCACAATCCTTGCCTCAGCTGCCTGCCTGAGTGGAATTCCCACTTCTTTTGGTATGGTTTTGGGAGTTGGGACATTATCTTTATCTACTGGCTTCTGTGGTATTTACTGCATCCCAAATGAAAGATTCTACATTTAAATGTTGCCTGGAAAAAAACACAATATCTTGTTTTCTTTTATTCATTCATTTGAACTAATTATTGCTATCATAGTCTCTTGTGCATTTTTCCCAAACCATAATGATTTGAGACTTATAGACTATGGTCAAACAGTTGGATTGTTTTTTTCAGGCAGGCAATTTTGTGAAGCAAATGGTAGTAATCTGAGCCACTTTTTGGTTTCTAAAAATTTCATCCGTTCACAGGGTGATTTCAGAGTCCATACATTTTCTTACCTGGAGACTAACATTCGATGTTCAGAATCTCATTTTCCATCTCCCACATATAGAATACAGGTTGGAGAACTTAAAATAAGACACTATTTTTTCATAAAGTTTTATTTTTTTCAAACTCCTTCAGGTCAGAGCATCACTAAGTTCCTTGTAATTAGTTTAAAAGATACATGGAAAAGTAAGTTACAGTTTTCAAATAAGCTACATGTGTCCCTTAGGAATTTATACTAAAATGTGTATTTATTTTTAAAAACCAAATGATATGAATATAAGAAATGCAATACTGGGTCAACCCAATGGTCTAACCAGCCTGTGGTTCCCAAGTTTCACAGTACTCCATTAATGTTGGCTTCAGAAGTTTTGGGATGTATTCAAACTCCCTGGTTTCCTCTAATACTCAAATCTGAATTTACCATTCATAGATTCATCTACATTTTTTCCCAAACTATTTATAACTCTGGCTTATATCAACAGAGAAATGAAGAATCCCACAATGGCTAGGGTATCTCACCCTAACTACCATGAGCAAGGGCACTACTCCGGGGGGGAAGGAAGAATGGGAATGGATAATCAATCTGTCATTCTGGTCACAACTATTCATTATAAAGTAAGACACAAGTAATATTCACCCTCATTCTGGGAGCTGTCTTCCCAAAGCCACGTTCAACTCATGGCACCCGTTTTAACCACAGGATCTTTTCATCTACATCAGGTCCAGATCCTGCCTCTGATCCAGAGACCTATGAATTGAACAGAAAATTATCTGCTTCCTACATACTGCTGGTAGGCAGCTTCTAACATGCCCTCCAATGGTCCTTACCTCCTGAAAATTTGGCTTTATGTTGTCCTCTTCCTGTGAGTAACTTGTTTCTCATCAATAGAATGTGGTAGCAGTGACAGCATATCCTCAGGATTTATGATTAGGTTACGTTAGTGATTTCCACCTTTCTCTCTGGTTGTGATGAAGTAAGAGCCATGCTGAAGAGGCTCACGTGGTAAGGAACTGAAGGTGACTTTCAGCCATTTAGCTGACAAGGAATTGAAGCCCTCAGTCCAACAGTCCTCAAGGAACTAAATACTGCCAACCATGAAGGTGAGTTTGGGAATGGATCCTTTCCCAGTGAAGCCTCAGATGACACTCTGATCAGGACTTGGATGAAGCTTTGTGAAATACCCTGAATCAGAACAATAAGATAATAAATATGTGTTGTTTTAAATTAATATATTTTGGGGATGATTTTTAATTACTGTTATAGTCTGGTTCTGGAATATCTCCCAAAGCTCATGTGTTACAGGCGTGGTTTGTAGTTGGTGACATCATTGGAAGGTGGTGGAAACATTAAGAGTGGGGCCTAGTTGGAGGAAGAAGGTTGCTGGGGTGGGTCCTTGATGTGCTTATCTTGTCCCCCCCCCACCACCCTTGCTCTGGGCCTCCACGAGGTGAGGGGTTTTGCTCTGCCACACCATCCCTGCCATGATGTTTTGTCTCATCACAGCTGTGGGAACAAAAGATTAGGGACTGAAATCTCTGAAACCACAAGGCAAAACAAATCTTTCCTTTTTTCAATTGCTTTAATCATTTATTTTGTCACAGTGTCAGAAATCTGACTAACACATTTAGCAACAGATAATTAACAGTAGATTATGCACATCCAATGTACAATAAAACAGGGACAGGATAGTTGCAGGAAACAGTCCCTTTTGAAAAGGTGAAGAATAGGGGTCACATAACAATCACTGACTCACAGCAATTCTGAGATTTCATTAGATAAATGCTGTGGGGATTCCTGTCATTAACCACTTGGGAAACTTGGTACTGGTATACAGGGATACTTGTCCCTATATCCAGCTTGATTAAATGCCCATTCTGCTTCATAGGGATAGATCTCAAACCTGTCTTTTCCATTGTTCTTGGCTGTCTTTTCAGAGGCCTTCCCATTCCATCAAACTCTTTTTTCTCTTGTGAAAAGAACACTGGAGAATATGGTCTTCTTAGAAATTGAACAATTTTTTTTCCCAGACCCCTCCTTGCCTGTAGAAAGCTGAGGCCATAAGGTCTTTTTATATCTGAAACAATCTCATTCTTTTTTAGTCTAGACTGGAAACATTTTTTGTCAATATATGTCCCTCACAAATGTTGTAGGTTTTCTATTTACTTAATTCCAATCAACTTCATATGCCAAAAGGCACATTCACAATTTTCTTTGAGAGAAGCCTTTATCTCTCTAAACCTAATTCCCTCTACTGGACACATTCAGGTTTCTGTAGGTCTTTGCCTGTAAGATTTCTAAAAGATCTTTT